GCCGCCGTTGTCGCTGCGGCGGGCTGGTGCTGCTGGCCGCCGGCAGGCGCGAAGCCGAAGCCAGGCGCCGATGGCGCGGCTGCCGGCGCAGGCGCGACGGCGGCTGCCGCGGCAACGCCGCGCCGCTGCGTGCGTCGGCTCTTGCCGCCAGCAGGCGTGCCGCCGCCGGCACCGCCGCCGCCCATGCTGAACAATGGGGGCTGCTGCTGCTGATCTTGCGTGGGCCCATCGCACGCGCTCGTCCCGGCGCCAGGCGCCGACTTGAAATTGAGGGTCGGGGTGCCACTGCCTGCGCCTCCGTTTTGATGTGGGAAGGCGAAGCCTCCTGCGCCTCTTTCACCGCCAGGCTGCGGCGGATGCACCTGCACACCCTGCTTGGATGCAGCGCGCCCGAAGGCGGCGGCGCCGGGGCTGTTGTAAGTGGTCGCGCCGACGCCTGACAAGAAAGAAGACCACGCAGAAAAGCCGCTGGGCCCTGAGGCGCCCCCGTTGCTGCCGGCGCCGCCGGGCGGCGCCCCGCGGGCGTGTGCCCTTTTGCTGGGGGTTCCGCGGTCCTTGGGCGGCCTGCCGGGCGCCTGGTGGTTGCTGAGCTCGGTGAAGGCTGGCGGTGCGCCGGCACCGTTTGGCGCCATCGCAGCGGGTCCGTGGCCCGGCCTTTCCGCCGGCTTTTTCTTGATCGGACTAGTCTTCTTGACCTGTCCGCCTGCCCCAGCCGACCCCATGGTGAAGCCAGGCGTCCCCAGGTCCATGGCACTGGCTTCGGTAGCACCAGCCGCGAAAGACGCCATGCTGGTGCAACAGCGCGGACAAGAGGCAGTGTTGTTTGCAAGTTATGTGATCAATCTTCGAAGCAACTCCATTCCTCCATGATCTGACGAGACAGCGTGTGAAAAGCAAACGCGCGCTCGAGTGCTGCCCTAGACAAGCAAGTCTAACACAAAGCAGAACGCATGCAGGCAGCAGAGTGTGGCAGCCCTGCAATGGAACCGACAGCCACGTTCAAGCACTGCAAAATTTGAGTGCTCGGGTGCTGCAACAACAGCAGGCACAATGAGTGATGTGCATCCTGCAAGGCATAGCCAGCTTGTAAAAGCACCACTTATACCCATACCTGCTCAGAGTCTTTTGTCCTACGGTTATTTTTGAAAGCACAATTTGCCACAGGCAGGTGCACCGATTGGCCTGCAAGATGAGAGCAAAGCACACAAGTTGCCCTCCCCATCAAAAGGCATGCAGCGCGGGAGTGCGCGCATTCCCCAAGACAGGAAATACTGCTCATGCCTGCTAGTGCTGCGCGAGCAGTTCGGGTGCGGCAGGATCGGCTATGCCGCAACCACGTCCTGGTGTGGCTGCTGGCACAGCTTGCCGGTACCATACGCATGGCCTGTCCACGTGCATCATGGGCCACTTTCATAATTGGCAGAAGTTATGCAGCACGCCCTGCATTCCCCGGTCCAGCATTTTGAGCCAGCAACAGCAAAATCGAGATTCAAGCAGCTGCGTGCACACACGAACGTGTGTGTGCGCGCGGGCGCGCACAAGCACGTGCACGCACGCACGCACACACGCACACACGCACACACCCACACACGCACACGCACACACCCACACACACAGAGCGCAGCCTGCACTCCTTACTGCACAACAACCAACCATTCCAAAGCCCGCCTGAAGCTGGACCTGTGTTCAGGGGTCTTGCGCTCTGCGCGTGTGTCCTGTCCTGCGCAGGACGCCATGCGCCCGGGCCAGCGCGCATGCTTTTGCAGACAGCCTGGGCATGGGTTATATGTGCGTCCCAATATATATAGTTTGTCAAAGGGCGGGCTGGGCAAGAACGAGGCCGGTGGGTCCATCGTTCATCAGCACCCCATGCTGATGAGGACCACTGGTGCAACTGCAGCGTTGCTTGCGGCCGCGTCGCCTTCAGCACTGGAACTACGCGTTCCTTGTTTTTGATGTGCAGTATTGCTCTCATTCACAAGCTCATATACATTGCAGAAGCCCCGCTCGAACGAAAAGATCTCGGACGATGGGGTTCTCGCTGCAACGGCAATTTCGCAATAATATCTTAGAACGTAGAATATGTACTGTAGCTCCGCGGCCCTTTAGACGCGTCAGAGGCTCTCCAGCGTCCACGACAGCCCACCGAGAGCCTTCTCAGCTAGCCACGAGCCCTGTGACAAGCGCTGTGGCGTACAACGATGATTCAAAGCCCGCAGCTGCCGCATCGAACGCGCCGGCGCGCACAGGCGCCGCCGCCGGATCGCCGCGACGTTCGCCCTTGTCGCACAGTCAGCTGCTGGACGTCGCCCACCGCTTCGTTTCCCACTGGTTCAGTGGCATATCAAGGTGGGCCGGGCCCTACCCCAGCGGCCCTTACCAGGCCTTTGAAAGAGCGCCACGCACCAGCACAGCAACATCTGCTGCTCGCCGGTCGACCCTTCAAATTCAGTCCCCGCAACCGCACCCCTCGTCGGTCCACCCATGCCCAGGGGCCCGACGGAGGCTGTGCTGTCGCAGCTCAACGGCCTGCTGTGCCCAAACGTTGTCGTTGAAGCGGACGGCGTCCGGCGGCTGGAGCGCGGGGAGGTATGCCTCAGCCTCCTGCGCGCCGCGCACCCCGCTTTCCGCTCGCCGCCTCGAGAGGCAGCATGGCCGCATGGCAGCCTGCCCATGGCCTGGGGCTTGCTCGGCGCGCCCCAGCCCAAAATCATGCCGCACATGCCACCTGCCTGAGTCGGATTCGGCACGCCAGGTGTCACCGTCCAGGCACCTGCATACGCCCGCTTTTGCCGCACCCTGCCCTCCTGACGACCCGGCCAACCGCTGCGCCGCCAAAGACCCACCAGCACCCCCTTTCAACCGACCCAACCGACCCAACCGACCCAACCGACCCAACTGACCCAAGCGACCCAACCGACCCCTCTCCAGGGCATCGGCGAGGTTCTTGCTGAGCTGGAACGCTCCCACCTTGAGTACCCCGACTCGGCGCACCGCCCGCTGCTGTTTGCGGCCAGCGAGGACGCGCAACGGGCCTACGCGCTCGTGGAGGGACGCTACCAGGTGCGCTGCGCCGCCGCCGGCGCCCGTGCTGCCTCGCTTTGTTGAACCCCCTCCTCTTTTTCCCATTGTGTTGGGTTGATTTGTTGTGTCGTCGAAGCGGCCGCAGCCACGCCGCGGCGGGCGCTGCCTGGCGGATGTGTTGGCGAGCATCGGCAATGCGCATCAGCCGCCCGGCCTGCTGTTCTGGGGGCGTGTGTGTGCTGAAATCGCTGCTGTCGTCGCCGGCACGCCCCATCGATGCATGCCGCAGGATGTCGGAGCGCTGCCCGGCCACCCGGCAACGTTCCGGGTGACGACTGTCCATCACATATTCGTGCTGGAGTGCGAGGGAACGGCCGCCGGCGACGGCAACAGCGCGGCCGCGGCGACAGCAGCGGCTGCAGGGGAGCGGGAGGGGGCGGCGGCGCCGTGCGTGTCGCGGCTGTGGCTGCTGCGGCAGCTGACTGAGGAGGATAAAGACGAGGTGCTTTTTTGCATCAGGAGTCCATGGGGGAGGGATGTGCGCGCTTTCTGGGGCGTGCCTGCTCGCGCTTGCCGCGCCCGCTTGCGGCGCAGCCGTGCCTGCATATCTGCCCCATTGCGCGCGGTGCCAGACGCCCCAGCCTCTGCGTCAGATGCCCACGGCTTGAGCTTTACATCAACCTTCTGACCTTCCAACTTCCAGTTCATAAACGATACGATGCTTCCATCAACTCGCCACCTTCCGCGCAGCTTCTGCACGACCCCGTGCACTGCTACGCAGCGCCCTTCCCCAAGGAGCTCCTCGCCCTCGCCGCTGACGAGGACAGGGAGCGCACCGCCCCGAAGCTGCGGCGGTCGATGCGTCGGTGGTGGGAGTCCTGGAGCTCCCACGACTTCGCCCAGCCGGGCGGCGGCGAGCGCGGCGAGGGCGGCGAG